TTGAGGCATTGTCCTGGTATGCGTTCAATAGACCTTCGAAAGCATGGCAAACCATCCAGAGTTGGAGCCTAGAATATGCTCCTACCCTTGTACGTAGTCAGGGTGTACAGGTGCAGTGATGAGGTGTAGTGGTGGCTGTAGGAGCCGCGCGTAGAGTAAGGCAACCATAGGTATCCGTAGATAGGCTTGAGTGCTAGCCCTGAAGTTGGGTGGAAACTACCTCAAGCGAAATCTTCTGCAGGACAGCTCTTTTGGGTCCTAGCTGTGTAATACAGAGACGACATGCTTCATGGAGCCTGAGTTGGGAGCCCACGGCCTCTGTTAGCGTGCTGCCGCCGCCCTACCTTCCTACCTAGCGTCACCAGGCCAAATAACAGGGTGCCAGACTTTGGAGAAGCAGCTATGGGCCTTCAAGGCCTTCATGGAAGTTGCAATGAAAGTAAGCGTGTGATGTTCAGGATGCACCACAAAGGGCTATGAACTTGGAACCTATCATTAGCTCTCAAGTTATGTTCCTGAAGCTTCCTGATGTTTTCGAAGTCCTAAGGGGTTGCTCGTGTTCTTTGCCGCTGTATGAGTACATCATCCAACGATCTATGGCGCTGCTCAGGAGTCAGAATTGCCTGGTGGAGTCCTGCCTATAACCGGACTGGCCGGCGGGCAACCAGTTAACAGCGGATGTAGCACGCGGTCTTGGCACCTTTAGGCCCAAGAGCAAAATCAGCTTTTCCTAGCCTAAATTCTATTGCCATCCGGAAAGAGGCCTGCTCTGACTGCATTCCTTTGAACAGGGGTCTGTATGTTTTTTTTTTTTTTTTTAATTTTTCGAGCACGGACTTGTCGCTTCTGTCCAAAGCTTCAAACTCGAGATTTACAAAGGTTCTACACAGGGCAGGCAGGCTCTGCTTATGCTATGTTTGCAGGTTGGCCAAGCCTCTCAAGAACCTGTAGAATGAGGTTCTTAAGTGAGGTCCGTAAAGATTTTGCAATGGCAGAGCTTCTTTCTCTGGGTCATGTGTGGCTCTAAAGCATGCTCTTTAGCCAATACCTTGCGTTCATGTACCTCAAACTCTAGCTCATAATCGCCGATACCAGGCACGGGTTGGAATTCATGAAATAAGTATTTTGCCGGTTCTGGAGAATACTGATTCCAAATAGTGATAATGAAGCCAACAGAAAGCACTAGAAGTGGATTGACTCCCAGAGGATTGAATATGTTGGAGTGATATTTCAGTGAATGCAGTAACGACAAATCAGCAATCCGATCAACTTTTTCCTACAGTCAAGCTCTAAATCCCAAACCATGACTGCCAAAGCCTGTGCCCTGAGGCCTCAAGCCCTAAATTCGTAAATCCTAAACACCCAAAACCTCAAAACCTTAAAGCTGAGACCCGGCACCCTAACCCTTTCCCAAGAAAGCGCAGCTTAGCTGGAGCTTGCAGAGTTCAGGTTGGCGGCGATGTGCCGAGCTTGACGAAGCTCCGGCCTGGCAGTTGATGAGGAAATTTGGGTACAGCCCCCCAATCTAACTTAATGGAAAAGGAAATGGAAACT